TAATAGTATTAAAAAAAAATTTTTAAAATAAATAGAATATTGATTTTTATATTTATTTAAATTTCAATTTTTTATATATTTTACTATAAAAAAACTATCGGGCGTTACTTTTGTTGGCTACTGTACATAGTTATATTTATTAACAAATATCATGATTGAAATTTCTGCAGTTTGATCTGAAAAGGATAAGTTGATATGCCACAGACAATTTACTTTCTTGGTCTTCGTGTTTCTTTGTATTCTATTTAAAGCTAATTCAAGTTTTTTTGATTTATATTTTCTGTTAAATTCGCAGACGAAGGTTCTTTTATGAATTTGGCCTAATCTATTTTTTTTTATCTAATATTTAATAATCGCAAAGCCATTTCTAGCACCATATTTGTCGAGATAGTTCTCTATCTTATCCCACTTATTAAAACTAATACTTAAAGAAATATCCTCAGAAGCGATTATATTTGGATCTATTGAGGTAAGCTTATTTAGTTTATGCAAGAAGCTTGTATTTATATATTTAAAATACTTACTATTTTCTGTATTTTTTATTATGCTCTATGTTCTCCATTTGTGTTGTGAGTGCATCTAACTCTTTAGGGTCGTAATTATCAAATATAACTAAAGTATATGTTGGTAAGTTTCAATTGATAAATTAATAAATTTTTTGTTATGAAACTTACGATATCTGTTAATTAACTCGCTAATATTGGTATTGTTGGGGTCAAATGAGCTTATGTTGAAAAGTTTTTGACCTTGTGCCATAGGTGAAGTCAAAGGTATATCTTTATCAGTTTGTCACAGTTGCATTTTAGTATAAGATATTGGTTGCTTCTAATACAATTTAGGATGATTTGAGCCTTCTTGTATTATGATACATTTATAGCTCTTTTTTTTTTATTTAAGACAATTTGAGCCTTCTTGTCTCATGATACATTTATAGCTCTTTTTTTTTGACTACGATTGTTTATAGTGCAATTTGAAATTTTTTTTGGTTCACAATATGATTTGAGATTTTTTGGTTCATGAGGCGATTTAAGATTTTTTGGTTCACAAAACAATTTGTATATGATTTTTAATTGTTTTGTTTCACAATACATTTAATTTTTAAATAATTTATATAAGGCGATACAGTTATATCTTGCTTTATTACTATAAAAAATAAATAATGCATTTTTGGCCAATCCGATTTTACATTAATATGCGATGCTAGATTTAATTGCATCACGTTCTGCTAGTTAAATAATTTATATAAGGCAATACAGGTATATCTTGCTTTATTATTATAAAAAATAAATAATACATTTTTGGCCAATCTGATTTCACATCAATATGCGATGCTAGATTTAATTGTATTACGCCCTGCTAGATAAACATTTATTTATTAAATATAACAATTTTTTTAAAAAAAAATTTTTTCAATAAAAAATTTTCTTAAAAAAAAAATTTTCTTTTCCCTTTTTTTTTATTTTTATTCGATTATCCAAATTTTAAATATAACCTATTTAAAACTTACTAATTTTATCTGCTTTTAATAATATAATATTAAAAGCTTTTATTTACTTTTAAATATAACCTTTTAGCCAATATCTACTTTTCAAATATAACATCTTTGTAAAAAAGTAACCTTTTTAGCCAAAATTTCAATGTAACCTCTATATATAGGGGTGAGTCAATAGAAAAGAGACAAATCATTTTTAGTAAAATTTTTTTTAATTTTCAAATTAAAATATCTCAACAACTATTTAATCAAATTTGCTAAAAAATTTTTTATTTTAATCTTGAAATTATATAGAATTAAAATAAAAAAAAAATTATTAAA